CTTCTCCTGAACTGATTTGCATAGTGAAGAAAGAGTCCTCGGGGCTGGGGTGTGGCTCAGTGGCAGAGCGCTCACCTAAAGTGTGCAAGGCCCTGGATTCAATCCTCAGCACTACATAAAAATGAATATATAAAACAGAGGTATTGTGTTCAACTACAACTAAAAAAAATAAATATTTAAAAAAAGAAAGAGTCCTTTGGTTCTCCTATTCCTCTTTCAAGGCCCCAGTGGAAGAAGGCACGATTAGAGGAGCCAAATATTTGGTCCTATAACTCAGTCCCCCTGTCTGGAGGGAGTTGGAGTGAAAACATATCATTACTTAAAAAACTGTGTTCCCTTATAACTTCTGCTTGAATGTTTTGGGGATATACATAGCCCAGGACATTGTACCCCAATGCTGCAAGTCTGTGATTTGCTAACGTTCCTCTTATGGTTTAGATCTGGAATATCAGTCAAAGGCTCATGTGTTGAGGGCTTGGTCCCCAGTGCAGCAGTGTTCAGAGGAGGGACTTTGGGGAAATGGTTGCATCATGAGGGTTCTGATCTCACTAGTGGATTAATCCATTGATAGGTGAACAGGCTCTGGGGGAGGTGGGACCTAGTTGAAGTAAGTCATTGGGGGCATGCCCTGCAAGGATATTTTTTTGCCCCTGGTGTGTGTCTCTGCCTCCTGGCTGCCATGAGGTGAACAGCTTTTCTCTGCTATGCCCTTTGCCATGTTTCTGCCTCACTGCAAAGAAGCCTAAAATCAATGAAGTCAGCTGACATTGAACTGAAACCTCTGAAAATGGGAGCCGAGATAAATCTTTACTCCTGTAAGTTTTTCTCAGGTATTTGTTGCAATGGCACAAGATAACATGGTCCTAGGGCCACCTTTTGTTAATGTCAGCTTTATGAAAAATTAAATAATGCACAGTAAGAGGCATCCATTTGAGGCATGCAACAGAATGAATTTTCCACTTGTAAATACCATTCCTGCAATCAAGATACAAAATATTTCTCCTCACAGAAGGTTCCTAGTGTCCCTTTGCAGTCCCTCTCCGTCTGACCCAGCTCTGCATAACCTTTGATGTTTTTTTTTTGTGGTTATAAATGAGTTTGCATTTTATGTAAATGGATTATTTTGTTAAGGGCTTCTTTTAGCATGATTTTTGTTGTGTATTGTACACAACATAAAAAATAGGATTTTAACCAATTTTAGGTACCATTCAGGGGCCTGAAGTATATTCTCACTGTTTTTCAGACATCACCATCTACCATACCTGGAACTTTTCTCACTTTCCAAAACTAAACCTTTGTAACCTTTAAACACTAGCTTCCCATTCCTCTCTACCTTCTAGATCGTGGCTGGAAATTCCTTGTGAATTTGACTACTCTAGGAAGGTCACGCAAGTGGAATTATGGACTTCTTTCTTTTGGGTCTGACTTACTGTGATATCTTTGAGGTTCACTCATGTTGTAACCTGGGTCAGCATTTACTTCCTTTTTTAAAGGCTGAAAATATCTCATTGTACATATATACCACAATCTGTGTATCCTCTCATCTATTGAAAGACACTTAGGTTGCTTCTACCTTTTGGAAATTTTGAATAATTGTGCTGTGAGCATTGGTGTATGACTGTCTTTCCCAGTTCCTCTGCCAATGCTTTGGGGTGTGTGTTTCGTAATTCTATGTTGAATTTTTTTAAGGAATATCCATAATGTGGCTGCACCATCTTACAACATTGCCTTTGGTATGTTTTGTTTTTGTAAGTTTTTCAAAACATTTTATTGGTCCATAATAATTATACAGAATGGTGGGTTTCATTGACAATATTGTGTTTTAAACAAAGTTTTTCATCAGCTTTCTTTTTTTTTGGGGGGGGGGTGAGGATACTGGGAATTGAACTCAGGGGCACGCAACCACTGAGCCACATCTCCAGCCCCACTTTACATTTTATTTAGAGACAGGGTTTCACTGAGCTGCTTAGCACCTTGCCATTGCTGAGGCTGGCTTTGATCTTTCGATCCTCCTGTCTTAGCTTCTGGGATTACAGGCATTCACCACTGTGCCTGGCTCATCAGACTTCTTGTTCTGATTATTTCCTCACTTTACAGAAGACACACCCTTGGACTTCTTGTACTCCTGTGTGATGATGATCTTTTTCTTCAGTATCTGAGTTTCTGCCTTTCCAGGTCTTTCAGACAGATTTAATTGCTCAGAAAATTGCTCAGTCATGATAACTTCAAGTAAAATTTTACTGCTTAATTTCTCTTAGCTCTAGTTATTTCCCTCTGTGTCCTACCTGGTGCTCATTAGCTGTAGTTATTGGAAAACTTCCTTGTTATCCTATTACCTGTGTCATTATACAACTATCTATATCCTATTAACTCTTTCCACCTACATTAGCCTTTTTGAGAGACTATTGTGCCATACATCATACTTATATGTGTTTAGCTATGTTTGTTAAGTAATCCATTTTAACTATGTTACCCCATCTTTTGCAACTGTGGTCTGACTTGCTAACAACCTGTTCCTAATATTTTCAATGCTGCCGAGGTATGATCTGTTAAAACTCATCCCTCACTTAGATCTTGTTTTGTCCGGGTATCAAAAACCCAGTAGGAAGTTAAACGTATCATTGATTCTAGGGACTCCACCTTGAATGTGCAGAGAATGTAGAGGATCTCAGTTCTAAAACACGCTTTTAAGAAGGCTCTTTCCCTTTGGCCAGTGCTGTACTGTTCATCAGGCTGCATGAGTCATCTTGGAGGTCGGGGGGAGAGCATGCACATGTGCTTGGGGTGTGTTGAGGGGCTGCTCAGTGGGGGGAATGAGGGTTGGAAAGTGGGAAGCTGGGTGAGGAGCAAGATCATGGAAGTCTGAGCAAGGAAGGCCGGGGAGAGGTCAATGTTCCTTGGTCACAACAGAACCCTTTTTGACACCATCATTTTGTGATGACTGACAAGGCTGGGTGACTGCTCATCATAGAGGCTCTGGGAAAGTTGCCAGAACAACGGCCCATCCCATTTGCTGTTCAGTTTTGGTATTCTGTCCTCATCTGAGCCCAGAGGGAGGAGAGTCTGCCCCAAGGCCACTTCCACCTGCCTGGGTCACATGAGTACTTGGGTAGGAGCTACCTCAGTCAAACCTTGTGCCTATAGGCAACCAAAAAGAGGGTGATGTTAGGGTCTAGGACAGGGCCAGACATGAAGTGTTGGTTGGTTGGTGTGGAAAAGTGACTAGAGAACTTCTTTTTTTCATCAATTTTCTTATTCCTGGGAAAGCTGGTATCGACTGGGGTTGCATAGTATAGTAGGGTTTTGAGTCTTTTAACTGGATGGCATATACAGTAAGAGTAGGGAGATCTTTCAGGGCCTACATATGGCACACATTAAATATGATGGCACCTCACCTCTGGTTGGCATTGGGGCCGTTCCTCCTCCTAGTCTATGTGTAGGCTCATCTCCTCATAAGCATAGTGGTCAAGCACAGCTGGGCAATGCCCCAGGCCCAGCTTTGTGCAGGAAACACCTCTGTTTGCCCACCTCTGAGCTGGCCTCTGGGCTCCCTGTTTACCAAATACCCATTGATGTCTCACCCCAAACACAGCTCAAGACCAGGAGTGCTCCCTGTGTCCAAAGCCCTCTCCCCTCATCCAGCACCTACAGCCCACTCGGGAGCTCGTGCTGACAAGTCCCCTGATTTCTATGTCTGAGCCACAGAGACATCTAAGGACCCTCAGGCAGAATGGGTCCCTCTTTTTAATTTTTTTGATATGTTCCTTGTAGTTTTACATGACAGTAGAATATATTATGACATATTATACATACATGGAGTATAACTTCCCATTCTTGTGGTTGTACACCATGTGGAGTTACTCTGCTCATGGATTCATACATAAACATAGGAAATGTATATCTGGTTCATTCTTTCTATTCCCATCCCTTCATTTCCTTCATTCCCCCTTTGTCTAATTCAGTGAACTTCTAGTGTTGCCTCCCCACTCCACATATTGCATGTTAGCATCTACATATCGGAGAACATGCGGCCTTTGGTTCTTTGGGATTGGCTTATTTCACTTAGGATAATAGTCTCCAGTTCCATCTATTTCCTAGCAAATGCTATAATTTCATTCTTCTTTAAGGCTGAGTAATATTCCATTGTGTGTGTGTACTACATTTTCTCTCATATTTCTATCCCTGCCTGTCTACCTGCCCTTTCCTAGGATGGCCTGATGGTCACATTTTGGGTGGTTTCTCTGGTAGTTTGTCCTTGTCTCTTTCCACCCCAGAAAACTATTGTTCATCCCAACTGACTCAGTTTAAATGTGCTCTGGAAACTGAATCATAAATCCTACTGTGTGTGTTTGCCTTTCCCAAGATGGAATGAGAGTGCCTTTAACACAATAGAGTCTTTTGATTTTGGTCCCTCATGTTCTCCAAAATCCCCAACCACGGTTAGAACAAGTGAAACATGTAGAAGACATGAAGATCATTAAAAACAAATGCTCAGCAGAAACATTAATTTTAAAAGATGAAGAAAAGATATTCTAAGACAAATATTTGTAGAAGGAATCACTAAAAGCTTCGAGTTTTGAAATCAAATGTTAAATCTGGAGTTTCTATTTCTGTGTACATACAAATGTCACTCATTTCAATATAATGGTCAGTCTATATTTTGAGATTTACTGTGGGCCTCGTGAAAATTTTTTGGGGGGGTTGATTATCTAAAGCTTTAGCCTCTAAGTACATATTCTTTAAAACCCTGCCCTATTCTACGTGTTTGCATTTGTCACAGGACACCTGTCTCACCTGTCTTTTTATACTGAGCCTGTTGGACTGTGGGACTCTGCTTACTGGGGTTCCAACAAGAGCACTTTGAGGAGCTAAAGAGCTGGTGTACAACAATGCCTGTGCTGTTTCTCATGTTGCCTTATCCCCAGGGGACAGTTTGCCCATGTGGGAAAGTTTGCCCCCAAACTTCTGACCATTCTTCCATCTCTGTTCTCCCCCTACAGGCTGGCCGTGGGTGACCCTCTCTGTCCTGGGATTCCTGTATTGCTATTCCCATGTGGGCATTGCCTGGGAACAGACATATACCATGGACTAGTGCCACCAGGCCAGGCCAACATCCAAGGAAATGGTACTTCACCGTGACCTCCTACTCCAAGATAATCTCCAAGGGATTATCTCCTGCTCATCTTCTGTTGAAGATACCTCACTTCAAGACTGGCAGCTTAAGCTCTCCTAGAAATTTTATAACCAGACTATCTTCTGACTTCTGGGTCTTAAGAGATTTTCTACCCAAATATTGTCAGTTTCCTGTTGGGTAAGCTGAAGTGCAGGGCAATAGATCATCTTGCATAGCTATACAGGGCAACAATTTGGTCTAGAACCCAGCCCTCCATTGACCCTTTGAGTTCTTTCGCCTTTACCAAGAATTACCTGGAATGGATATTTCTTGATGGAGCACAGAAATCCTGACTAGTGATAGGCCTGTCCTCCACTGCATAGTATTTCTGAAACATTTTACCGCCATTTTGGTGACTTCTTTCCCATGATCTACATTGTGGGCTCTAGAACCAGAAGCAGAGTTGGACTTCCACACATCAGCTCCTCAGCAAGGAGGTGACAAAGACACAGCTGGTTCTGATGACCTATGCAAAATGAAGGCAGTCTTGTGGCATTCTAGGGAGTCTATACCCAAGGAGCCCCATGACTTGAATTTCATTAGGGTAATCTACCTTTGCCTATTCATTCCTGAGGTTTGCAGGGATATATAAACATGGTAATTCCTCTGATGTTTTCTAATAAAGAAGCAATATGAAAACCAGGGAACTGGTGTGTCCACAGCTGGGTGACACTGGGCAAGTCACAAAAGGTGAGGATGGCATCCTGTGGTCTCCATCTCCACTCAGGTCCCCAGTCACCATCCTACTCAGTAGTTCATGTTTGCTGGTGTATGTTGCCCCATTTTGATTCAAATAAAATGGAGTCTTTATGTTACATAGAAAATTCAGATTTTTCTAGAATTAGAGTATTCTTAAGAAAAATGTTTAAAATCTTAGCAGTTATATAACTCTAGAAAAAAAAATGCTGGACAGGCTACCAGTATCCAAGTGGTAGATAGCTTAGAAAATTTATTTGATTTTTGGATTTATCTGTGGAACAGACATTGAAGGTTTACAATTTGAATCCATAGTGCATCTAATTTTGGGAGAATTAGTAACATCCTTAGTACACGAATTGTCGTTGAGTGACAGGTGAAGGTTCACTTGAACCTAGCTACTGTCTTTCATTTGTTATATGATATTGCCTTGGGTCTTGGCTGTGGTTATCAACTTGATGAGACTTAAACTCCTCGGTGCAGGACCAGTTATCTTGTTGACTCCCTTTCTTCCTAGCTGCTCTGATTGGAAGAGAGATGGGAGGGAACCAGACATTGATGAGCTGGTATGGGCACAATGTATTACTTGAAACAGGACAGAACAGAGCAGCTGGCAGACCTGGCAGCAGTAGACTCCACAGCTGGCTGGGTAAAAAAAGAAGACACACGGCAGGAGATTCCGGGGTGCTGAGAAGTTTTAATTGAGGGAATGAGCCTGAGGGAATGCAGTAGAACTTGGAGGAACACTGAGTCAGGATTTGTGGTTCACCTGGAAGGAGTGTGGCTGAAGTTTACTTGGAAGGAAAGGGCTTGCTAAGAAAAAGTACAAAAATGATTGTTGGGAAGTGTCTAATATATGTAGGTATGTAAAACAAAAGATTTGAGGTCTTCTAAAAAAGACCATTTATATAAAAACACATTTAGTCAATCACTAAACTGTCCTGGACAAGGCAGTAGATGTATTTGAAAGTAATAATCCTGAATTACTTTTATGCTGTGATTCAGAATGGTTCTTGGTAATTAGTAAGCTTATTGTGTTTAACTCTATTTGAAGCCTGGTTAACCAGTGTATGTGTTATGTAGTACTACTGTTTTCTTTAACCTTTTCCTGATCCCCAACTGTAATGCAAAAATGACAATACTTCTTTTTTTATGGATATGAATTAAAATCCTGGAGTTGCTTTAAACAAAAGACGCTTGAGGTGGCTGGGCATGCAGAGCTGTTCAGCTGAGGAGCATCAGATGTGTCACTAGCCCTGGACAACTTCAGACAGGGTGTGGGGAAGAGAATGGACAATGTCCCAGGGTCACTTCCAGCCCCAGGATCTTCTGACCTCAACCTGGCTCTATGGGGAAGACCTGGCTCTGCACTTTACTGCCAAGATGACACCCAAGGAGAGAAGTAAGACACCTGAAGGTCAGTGAAACCTCTATCACTCTGATTAATTCCTGGAACCACAAAAGAGAAAAGTATTTATGCTATGATTCAGAATGGTTCTTGGTAATTAGTAAGTTTACTGTGTTTAACTCTATTTGAAGCCTGGTTAAACAGGGTATGTGTTATGTAGTACTACTGTTTTCTTTAACCTTTTCCTGATCCCCAACTGTAATGTGGAGATGACAATACTTCTTTTTTCATGGATTAATTTGTTGTTTTCAGATTAATTTGTTGGAAGTGACAGCACAGAATGTTTTGTTCTGTTAAAGACCACAGGCCTAGAGAGAGAAATGTATCAGACATATGAAGATCTACGTACTAGGAGAATAGCAATTTAGTGTGAGTGTGGAAATGGGAGATCCTCTTAGAGAATTTGAGACTGCTTACTTTGACTAAATATCAGAAGTGAACTGTAATATAATGCTTTTGCATTTAGCTGACTCTTATGGTTTAGATATTAGGTGTCCCCCAAAAGCTCATGTGTGAGACAATGTAAGAAGGTTTAGAAGTGAAATGTGACTGGGTTTTGAGAGTATTAACCCACAGTGTATTAATCTCCTCATAGGGGTTAGCTGGGTGGTAATTGGAAGCAGGTAGGGTGTGGCTGGAGGAAGTGGGCCCCTGGGGGTTTGCCTTTGGAGTTTGTATTTTGTGAGCTGAGTTTTGCTGCTTTCTTCTGCCACACTCTTCTGCCATGATGTTCTGTCTCGCCTTGAGCCCCAAGGAATGGAGCCAGTTGTGGATTGGGACCTCAGAAACTATGAGCCCCAGATCAGCTTTTCCTTCTCTAATTGTTTTTTTCAGGTTCTTCAGTCACAGCAGTGAAAAAGCTGACTAAAACAGATACACCAGTACAGATGCATACTGCAGGGTTTGCTTCAGTGTGGCCAACACGAGAAGCCAGATTATCAACAGTGCTGGGCTTCACCGTGTAGTACTCTCAGTACGGGCCTCTCTGAGGCCTTTCTTCAGAGAAATGTTTTATTTGGAAACAAAAAAGTCTTCATTTAAAAATAGTTCAATCCCATTTGTCACCCCAAATGTAATATCTGTGTTCTATATTACTAGTCCTTTTGACTAATTACACAAGTCATTCACAAAGATAGTATTTTGTCACCATTAAGAACAACTAAAAAATTGTGATGTTCAGTGCATCTATTAGGTGACATTTTTGAGATTAATTTCAATTATTTGCAATTTTAATATCACCCTTGAATTATTTTCATTATGATATTCTGCAGGGTAATTTAATAGAGACTGGGGAAAAATCATTAAAAGTACTATATTCATATTATGGCATTAGGAGATGAAGCAGAGACCTGAGTTTAGCTTGTATGTCATAGAAGCCTCATCTCTGAATTTAGTTATATTGTCTGTTAAAACAGAAGTGCCATTTTTGAGATGTAGTCCATTGGGTATTAAATAAGAATTCAGATTGGCAATATTGTGGAGTCTTGCCATGAGCAAGAAACGATACCTACTAAAATTATAGCAGAACTGAAATCGTGTTGGTGTATAGGCCAATTTAGAGTAAGAAGTCTTCATTTTAATAGCTTCAAAAGCTATCAATGAAGTAGAGCAAGGTCCAGAACTTGTATTATTGACACTGAGTCATTTAGAAAGATTGAGTTATAAACCCTTCATCCATTTTGGAAGGTAACTTCTCAGTGGGAGTTCAACTTTCAGTGTGTTAAATAAACATGTCACGCAAATTTCAGTGGTTCCAAATTGTTGTGGCTTAAAATTTGACACCACTGTGGCATAGTTGGGAGGGAGAACCTTCAAGAGGCGATTAGATTGTTAAGAGAGATTAATACCTTTATTGTGGAACTGGATTAGTTTTTGTCATAAAGCAAGCCTGCCTCATCTTGTCTTGGTGGCCCATACCAACTTGCCCTTCCAATTTCCAGCATGTTATAAAGCAGTATGAGGCCCTCACCAGATGTGACCACCCTGTCATGGACTTCCAGAACCTTCCATCCTCCAGAACTGTGAGCCTTAATTAATTTCTTATCTTTATACATTTCATTATAAGTTCTTTTTATAGCAACAGAAGTTTTTAAGACACCATATTTTAAAGGTGATCTCTATACACTTATAAAGCAAATGCAGCTCTACCTCAAGACAATATGGTGAAGCAGCACTTTGATACAACCTTGATGTCTCTAGAATTTTAAGTTTTCCAAAAACCACAATTATAGGTGTCATTCAAGTTAGAGCTTCCCAAATCTTGGAATAGAAAATGCCATCCTTGCTCTATCTTCTTAGGTCAGAACACCCAACTCAATGATTTATTATTATATAAGGAAAGGCAAAAGCAAGCATCATGTATAAAATAGTTTATTACCATAATAAATAAAATTAAACTTTTTTTTTTTTTTTACAAATATCATTTGTGCTTGTTTAAAAATGTTGAAGGGAATATCATCAAGGGAGGGGCCCGTGTGTTCCTCTTGACATTCCCAAGCTGCAGATATACAGTGGAGTTCCTGGCAGCATCCTCAGCTGACCACAAAAATAGTATCAGCTTATTTGCACTTGCTTATTCATGTTCATTTGGACAAAGTGACAGATGCAAAGGAAAAAAAATACCAAAAAAGGATTTGGCAGGACTCAATGGAAAGATCGTTAATATAAGGAGAAGCCCCAGAATGATGAACTGCTCATGAGTAGAAATGAGTCCTTGCAATGAAATGTGGACAGTCTCCAACTGATGCATAAATACAGTGTCTGAATACTAAGAGAATACATTCATTCGGGTAAGGGGTTGCATCCTTAACATACGAGGAGTTCATCTCCTGATACAAGATCTGTGAACTTGTCATTGAACAACTAATGGATGCACTGGATGACTCAGAAATCACCGACAAAGAGACAATGAGTCTAAGAAAAGTTGAATGGCAGGCAGAGGGGGCACCTCCAGGGTATACAAGTACAGTTTTAGAGGTTCCAGAATAAGTCTGATATGCTTGTATGAGAATGAAGTTTCATTTGAAACTCATTTAAGCTTCAGGTAAATTCACATTGATTCTCTTGAAGTGTGGGGGCAGGGGTAGACATCAAAACTTTTCACCACCTTTGGTGAGAAAACGAAGCTTTCTCTGATGGCTGCAGTTGGTTCTAAACGGAGAGTGAATTCTCCTCCTGGTGCAGGGTTGAGGAGGAGCTGGTGAAGGTAATTCTTACTGAAGCAAGTGAGAAGGCAGTAACAATGACTTACAGGAGAGGGTATCCAGGGGTTAGAGTCTACCCTCAATGGACTTCCTCTTTAAGCAATAGTAAGAGAGCGGAGAGGAAGGGGCATTGGCAGCTCCATCACAATTGGAGTTTCATTCAAAGGTCTTAAGGCTAAACATCTTTATTGCAAAACATAGTACATTCTGTTAATCAAATGCATATCAGCAACTTCTATCACCACCAGGGCTCCTAAAATGTCCTAGAGTGTATGTGTGAGATGTGGTTGGTGCAGCAAGTGGAAATAAGAATATTCTCCAATTAGTATTCCTAAAGAGTTCTGACAGCATCTTCACACCAACTTGGCTTAATACTTTCACTTCACACCTAAGATTTGGAAGATAAAGCTTGACACATGGGGTAAGATGGTGAAGTGTATTTTTGCCCCTTGTCCAGCTACTTCCACTTTTGAAGATTCTAGGAAAGGAGCTGATGTATTATTAACAACACAGAAGA